TATATATATATATATATATATATGATACTCATGACAAATTGTATATCTATCTAAGATAGATGTGAATTATGATATTCTTTAGACTTGTACATTAACTTATAAGGATTAGAATGAAATACTTTTGAATAAACTAAAATGATGTGCGACTAGCATGTAAAATTATACACTTTATTTTATTTAGGTGTTATGAGGAAAGTCATTAGAACTTGAAATATTTTGTTTTGTTGACAATTTCTGATTAGTTTTAGGACCACTTTTAAAGATGGTATGAAGTAGAAAATACCATTTTTTTCACTTATATTAAGTTACTTTTAAGGAATGAGAACTTTTTTAGTAATGTCAATCACATACACAAATCATTTCATTATGATACATACTTTAAAGTATGTGTTGATAGTTAATTGTGATACATACTTTAATCCTATATATTAACTCTCAGATCTTATATGAAGCTTACTTAGTGATGTTTGTCAAGACTTTGAAGATTTTATTTTTCACCTTATATCGTAGTATGATGTAACATCTAGTTGGGTTCATGTATAACTTTATACAAATGTGGAAATTTGATACATCTTGTTGTTCGTTTGGTGACATGAATTACATCATTCGGTATAAATAATACTTGAAAGAATATATTTTGGTGTATTGTGTAATAGTTTTGGGATGGTAAATAAATAAATATATGCTTGTAATGTGTTGATACCTTGAAAGTATTTTTTTAAAGAATATTATTCAGGGTTACTTTGTTAAATTTAAGGGAAGTTCTATAATTTTGGGGTGAATTTGGTTGCGTTATGTGTTCATTTTGCTTTAGGGAAAATTCCCGCTTTTAAAATCCAATTTTCAACTTGTTTTGTGTGTTAGCCTCAATTAGAGCAACTTGCCACTTTAAAACTGAATTGTGAGACTGTGAGATTAATTCAAATTACTTCTAAATATATGTTGTGTCGTGTATTTCCTTCAATTTAGAAAAACTTACCACAACAAAAATCATTTAAGAATTTAATTTGTTCAAACTATTTTTTAATGTGTGTATGTTTGTGGTTCTTTTTATGGAACTCCGTCACTTTAAATCCTTGTGAGATTGATGAGTTATGTCGAATGGAAAGTGGTGTTCGCAAAATGTGGTAGGTTTTAGGGCATCAATTTTGATATTCTGATGTTAGATCACTCCTACATATTCAACGAGTCTAAGACAACAATTAAACAAGAATATGTTTAACAAGAATTTGTGTTTATATATATGTTTTTCATGTTGTAATTGAAATGAATATTTATCACATTATAAATACAATTATTTATTAAACGTACTACATTTAGATTGCATGTAATTTATTGCATGTAGTTTTGGTTGTTGATATTGGTAAACGGTTTTTATTAGTACACCGTTTGGTCCTCGTAGCTGTAAACATGAGTTAGATTTTTCTAAATTTATGTATGTTTAAAAGTTTATTTTCACGAAAGAATGTTGAAAATTAGATTTTCCGGGAATATCTGGAAATTTTGTAATTTTATATTAAAAATAAAATAGTTCAAATATTATTATAAGATATTTTAAATTTTTTTTGTCGCCAATCAATCACTAATACCCAGTTTCCGAGTTCAACTTAATGAGAGAAAGGAAATCAAATGACTGAAAATGAGAAGAAATTAAAAGAAATTGATGTTTTCAAGTTTCATTAGAGGAAAGTGGAGGGAAATGAAAAGATCACTTTCACTCCTAACTTTCCTTCCGATTTGGGAGGATTTAGAAACAAAAAAACAAAATATTTCACTTTCTTTCTATTTTTTCCAACTCCGAAACACGAAAGAAAATTTTGTTTTTCTTTTCTCTCATGACTTTGTTTTCTCTTCTCTTCTTTTCTTTTGTTAAACTCCGGAACAAGACATAAATGAGTAAATGGTTATGTGGTTAATCGGTAGAAAATAAATGTGTGTTATTTCATCGATAAGTTTCTTATTCTGTTATAAATCTTTTGTTGTTTGGTTGCTTAAACTCTTTTTTTCATTTCAAAAATATTAGGAGTAAAATATGTTAGATCAGCGACAGAAGATTCTGGTTCTCCAATGCTAATTATTAGCCACCGGTGTATAAGTATGTATCTTATTCTTTTTACAGCGGAAATAATTGTGATTAAACGAGTTTATTCATTAAGGTTTTCTTCTCTCTAGTAACCATTAATTGATTTGAAGGCTTGTACTTTTCATTCATTTTGAGAGATTTAACTACATAAAATTAGTTTTCGAAATTTTTTAGTAGGAATGACATTTGTGAAATATTAAAAAAAAAAAAAGTAATCATGAAAACAAACAATAGATTGCTTGGAGTTATTGTTGTCCATTAAGAAAGGCGAAGGAGATGTTTTAATAAATTTATTGAATCTTCGTTTATGGAAATCTTTGGTGACACCTTGGTTGATATGTTAATTCGATTCAATAGAGTTGAGAAATCGGTTTTAGATAGAACTATAGTGTAAGTTGGTTGTTTGTAATATCATGGCCATGTGTGATGGCCATGCTTAAATATAAATCTCTTTGCATTAAACTCTATGCTTATAAATAGCGTTATATATAGAAAAGACTTATCATTTTGATAATTTTTTTTTTATAAAGTCTTAAAAAAATTTGAATAGAAAAGTCTATTATTTAGGACTTTTAATAAATTAACGAAAAAATCAATCTTTTTATTTTAACAGAAAATGACACATTATGTGATTTTCTTAAAATAACAAAACTTTTCTTTATAAAACTCCATATAAATTAGTCAACTTTTTAAGATTTACAAAAATACTCCTTTAACTTATTTTACAATGACCAAAATATATCACAAACAACATAAGGACATAGCTAAACAAATGAATGTTTAAAAATGAATCATGAAACACAAACAATAAATTGTTGGGAGAAATAACTGTTGTTCCCCGCTAAGAAAGGTGAAGTAAATATTTTGATGTGTTTAATGAATTTTTGTTTACGAAATATTTCGATGACACTTTGGTTGATCCGATCCTTTAATTGGATTTAGTAGAGCGATTAAATTGGTTTCCACTAGAGTTATAGTGTAAGTACGTTGTCTTATTGCATACAAATATCACTGTATTGAACGTTATACTTAAAGTTTAATCACTTTTCAGAGATTGACAAATATATTATGTGAACTTATCATGGTATTCTTTTATAATAACCAAAATGATAGTAACTTTCACTACATTGAGATTGAGGTTTAACGACTAAACAAGTAAAGTACTCAATACAAGTAAAGTACTGAATGTCATACACGTCTCATAACATAGGGCATTCATTTCCTAATAACCATTATCAAGGTTATTCATATGATGTATGAGTGAGAGAAAGAAACCAAGATTCCCATATCTAAGTAGCTGATAACCTCCAAATAATTGGTTGCAACCGCTATAGAAAAAACCAAGTGCGAAAATGCACTAAACAATGTAAAATAACATAATGATTCATTTAACATAACCGTGAAGGATGGAAACTGATTCGTACACAACAAAATTTTTCCATACACAACAATTTGTGCATTAAACTGTTGTATTGTACAACTTTATAAGACATAAACTGTTATGTATAGAAAAAATTATTGTGTACAAATCACTTCCCATAAAGGATTGGTCAAACAAACATTGCATGCTAGACTATACTTTAGTAAAACACTTTGCCGTGAACCAACATAGTGGTTTGAATAAGAGTATCTTCAAAAGTTAACCTTACAATGACTTATTTCTTTTGTTATATTATATTTTTATTAATTTTTACCTAACATTTTTTTTAAATAAAAATCCTTTTCCTGTGGTTAAACTTTTCAAAATATTTTTTTTTCTACGATTAATTAAATTGTACTTTATCTATATTAGTTGTTTTATCATGCATGAATATATTTCAAAATTCAAATACATGGGTTATATATGTTGCCTCAATTTTTTGCAATACATATGTTGCCAAACTTTAATATTAATTTGATGTTCGTGTTTCTAAACTAATACATAGGCTATATGAATTATTGATGTTTGTGATTTAATTAATTAGATATATAAAAAATGTTACTAAGTGTATTATGTATCATGTACTTTTGACCCTAACACCTTGTTAGGGTCCATATTTTTAGTATATTTGTCGGTTAAAAAAAATTAAATATAGGTGATTAAATGTAACAAAATTCTATAAGAAATTTAAAGTTCAGAGAATTATAAATGATGGAATTATAAATGATGGGAGTGAATTATCAAAAAAGCTATCATATATATCTAATGGAAAAAGTTAATAAAACATTATTCAATTATCCAAATAGTAATAAGCTTAAAAAGCCAGGGAGATATTCTAAAAGTCCAATACCCATAACGACCCTAATCCTCATTAAAATTAAAACTTCCACACTTCAACTATTAACCATTTCAGTAAATACAACACACTGGAACCAATACCACTACGCCATGGGCACTCTCTCCATGTTTCTTATCCATTGGGTGGATCTTTCATGCTCCTTAATCATTCTTAATTCTATAGAAAAATTAAAAATGCCACAAACGCAATTAGCGGATACACATTCATGATACAATTTCTAATGACATAATGTCCTAGATTACTTGCAATAGGTTTCCAAATATTCGTTGCCAAATTGGTGATGCAAATCCGAAGACAAAACATCGAGATTATATATGTAGAAAATATTTTTGAAGCCTACAAACAAGAATTCTATGCAAGATCTCAAATGCATACCACACATAAACACACATAGTTGCATTATTATTCCATAAACACACATTCCATCGTTTCAACATCACCATATATACCCATACGGATATACAGACTCGACTAGGTTTTATTCACCAACATAACAAGCAGCAGAAAACAAACATAACTTCAAACACAAACTCCATCACAATAACACAAGGGAAACTTAGACACATATATATGTATATATATAGATATAGATATATATTATAAACCACTGCTGCATGGTTTCAAATGGTGCGGGTTTTCTACTCTTGGGTTTCCGGGTTGTTATCATCATGAGGAGCAGACTGAGATGTGGATCCTTCGTCATAAAAAGCTGGAGCGAAAATTGGTGGATGATCAAATGCACATGCGCTTCCAAAGATACAAACACCCGACTTTTCATAATGCCAGCATACGCTTCTCCCCTGTGAAGATAAATCATCGATCAAATATATATATACACTCTCTTAATTAATTACCTTCTTTCTCTATTTCATATTACTATTGTAATTTGTATCTACATATTGATCGATTAAACCGAGTTTTATTTAATTAAAAACCAAAAAAGATTTGAATACTTACAGGCCTTTGAGGCAGACCCTCTTCATTTAGAACAAGCGTTGACTCTTTCGCAGGATGGTAATAAAACCCAGGATTCGCAGGCTATGGAGGTAAAAGGTTGAAATTTAGATACTTTAGCAAAAGGAGGATGAATATATTACATATTAAATATTAAATATTAGTAAAAGTAACACTGTTTGTTTGTATCCTAGAAAGATACGACACCTGATTTCCATTCCATCCATTAATGGTTGGTTGAACAGTGCTATCTGTCATTAATGGAGCATTTGGATAATATTCGCCATTCATATTTCCAAAAGATTGATGTTGATAGTCAAAACCATAGCCATTTCCGTGTTGTTCATAAGGGTCGTAAATCGGGTCGGGGTGATGGTATTTGCAATCTACTCCGTAACCACAAGACCCGTTACGCATATAGAAAGCACAATCTTGTTGTCCCTAGTGATAAATTAAGAAGATAATATAATCATCAACCAAGTTAATTTCTGAAGTAATTTAAATAGTATGTGTAAATGTATGTAATTTTACTTGAATTGATTGTGCGAAAAAAAAAAAAAAAAATGGAAGAAGTAAATTAATTAATTACCAATCTGTAAGGGAGTCCAAGAGTGTTAAATAGCCTTTGTTCCGGTGGAACTTGTGGAGTGGAGTGCATAAATTTGCAATATATTCCTCGGTTGCAAGCTCCAACCTGGAAAAACTGCAGTTTATGATGTGAAAGGGAATCATAGATTTAATTGTTCTATAACATTATAGATATATAGATGGTCTTATATAATAAATGCCATTAATAACGTAACGTTATATATGAAATCTTGAAATCCTTGTTATGAGATGTAGAAAATCTTTAAGGTATTATGTATCTTTTCCTTGTTCGATATATGTTATCGTTGAACATTAATGTAAAGATAATCAATCAATATATGTTGTATTTAACTTTGGTCTAATAAAAATCAATATCTTGACATCTTTAGATGATTTACGCAATTTCAAAGGTGCTTATTTGGTTTTAACTTTTAATAATATTGTTAGGAGCATATAACATAGCCAAAGAAATATGGTTCTAGTTTTAGTTCGTAACACTTACTAAATGCACTAAATATTAATTACTACTATATATTCAACAAACCAATTTAATTTATGTTAAATGCAACATTGAGTAATGAGCACAAACACAAAAATTTAGGATGAACCGATAACTTATTATTATTATTTTTTTATTATTCTACAAATTAAATGAACTAAATCGGTTGAAATATCAAATAAAGGTTACGAGATACAAGATTGATAACCTTGAAAATCGTTTACCCAATTCATCAAAATCACAGATTATGAACACCAATGACATGGGTATATATATATATATATATATATATATATATATATATATATATATATATATATATATATATATATATATATATATATATATATATATATATATATATATATATATATATATATATAATTGATTCTACCTTGCATGGGATGATGGGACTCGATTTGTCAGATTCTTTTCCAGAAGAGCTTCCATTGTTTCCTTCCTTTTGAACCTTCTCAACCTACACATGGCAAACACTCGTATACATCAATTTTCATCATAGAATAATCGCAAAAGAATCATATATACCATAAGTATTAAATTTAAGCCACCAAACCCTATAAGTCACGAATTTTGTTTGAAATGTGAAAGCGATAACCTATTTTTAAGAAAAAACTATCATGAAGTAAAGGTGAAACGGGAAGATATAGACTGAACCTTATCAGTGGTTTTTAAAGTGGGGTGGCGAAATTTGCAAAAGTCTCCGAAACTACAATATCCAGTACTAACAAAAACCGAACAGTCCTTATCGACCTTTTTTGCCATGAATGTTGTTTGAAAAGGAACCCCTAACGGTGGTCCGATGACTGGAACAAGTTGGTGGTGGAGATTAGAATGGAAGGAGTGTGTGTGTCAAAAAGTATGAGTTCGTCAGCTTTTATATAGTCGGGGGGGGGGGGGGGGGGGGGGGGTGGGGGCCTGCTATTAATCTGTTTGACTTCTAAACTCCAACAAATATCAGGTAGGTCCACTCATAGTCTCATTCATTCTATTTTAAGGTTTGTTTTAAATGTACGTTCAAAATAATTTTAATTTTATAAAATAGTATATGATTTTACTATAAATAGAATAAACAGAAGGAGGGTATATATTTTTTTTAATAAATAAGTATTTCTTTTATTTGTAGATTTATTTTAACTCATGTTGGTTTTATTATATGTATGTGAGTTAGTACTATAGGTAAATAGTTTATCAAATCTTTTGTTAAATTGGTTTTCTAAATCATAAAAATTTATAAATCAAACTTTACGGTATGAACTACTGTTTAAATTTTTCTGTGAATTGATTTTGTTTTTTTTTTTTTTTAAATGGAAAATTTATTAAACACCGGTTTTGTCCAATTTCAGCTTATTAATATTATTATTATTATTATTATTATTATTATTATTATTATTATTATTATTATTATTATTATTCAAATGTGAAGTCAATGACATAAAAGAAAACGTTACTAAACAATTCTCAAAGTCTTACTCCTTAAATAAATTAAGAATTAAATAATCCATGGATAGTTTAAATAAAATAATATATATATATATATATATATATATATATATACACACAGAGAGAGAGATAGAGAGAGAGAGAGATGAGTTTAATTCAGAAAATAAAAAATGTTAAGAATGGAGGAATCATTCTCAGTCACTCATTTAATCTAAGTATAAAAAGACACAGTGGCAAACTTGTAAATATGTTAATAACTTTCAATGTCAAATACGTAACTATAGAGAATTCGATAACAGTTCATTCATCCACAAAATTTCTCCTCCAACCTTCAACAATCATCCAAATTTCTTCAACTAAACCATCATCAATGTCATCCAGTGTTAATCAATCATCAATATTCCTAGCTGGAAGATTCGATGTTCAAGACAAATTCGCAACCCAAATTCATTGATTTGTTAAAGTTCATAATGGATTTGAAACTGGAATTTCCCAGATTTGCAAACGAAATCAGCTGGAATCAGAATTTCTTCGATGTTCATTTAATTGGAATCGGAGTTCTTGACTTGCAGTCACGATCGACATTGAAGGACTCAGAATCGATTCTCACAGGTTCCCAATCGGATTTTCGAAAATCAAAATCAAAAGGAGAAATCGATCACACATAGGTGTCGCATCGGAAGTCGAAATCGAAAATATATGATGATTTAGAATTGATAATTTGATGGTTTTAACATTTTTAAATAGTTAACTTGTATGCACTCCAACTGTTTGATGAAATGCATAAACTAAATTACCACGTTATATTCATATATGAACATATTTTCTCACCTGAAGTAGTATATGATTATCAAAACAAACAAACGAATATGCAAGTCTGTATGTTATTCGTATGTGAATAACATATAAAAATTATATATATTTGTGAAAACACATTGTAATATTCATATGTGAATAAACTGTGTAATATTCATAAGTGAATATATCATCTAATATTCACAAATGAATATACTATGTATTATTCACATGTAATATATCAGGTAATACTATGTAATATTCAAATATGAAAATATTATCTAATATTCATAAGTGAATATACCATCTAATATTCACAAGTGAATGAATCGTCTAATATTTAAATATGAATTTACTATGTTTAGTATATGTTATATTCATATATGAATGATACTTAAAACGTAAAAAAAAAATAATCATATTCTTATTCATAAGTGAATAACAAATGTACTGTAGTAAAAACCTTATTCATTTTTATTCACTTATGAATAATGATAGCTGATATATAAAAATATAATTTTTTATATTTTATTTTAAAACTATATCAATATGGATGTCTATTTTTAGAGAGTAAAAAATCATGAATTTTGGTATATTTAAAATAATTTTTCAATAAAAATAGTTTCTTAAAAATTTAAAAAACCAAAAAAAACTTTGTTTTTGTATATATTAAGCTAATGCTTAGCATAGTTTAAGGAAATATGTTTTGTTGGAAAACACATGTCTATTCTTTTCCTATTTCTGCTGGTACGACGGAGACTTTTGCAGCAAAAATAAATAAGTGGCTGAGAATGATTCCCTCATTCTTAACCTTTTTTTTCTCAATTGAACTCTCCCTTATATATATATATATATATATATATATATATATATATATATATATATATATATATATATATATATATATATATATATACATACATACATACATACTAGGCGAATGCCCGTGCGTTGCGCAGTGTGATAATTATGTAGTTTAATATGATTATATATGGTTTAATGTATTGTGAATAAGTCATACATAAAACTTGTATGCGATTAAATAACATGTATATTTTTTGATTTACAGATTTTTTATCATAATAAATAATGAAATTTTTTACTATTAGTTTAAAATTTTAAATGTAATTTTTATGTACACATTAGTATGTAATGTAATTAGTTGATGATTGATTAGATATGGATTTTCATTTGTGGTTGTCTATTTATGTTGAACCTCATAAAAATACATATTTAACGACTTTTGTTAGTTTTACTATTGAATAGAGAATGTACCGTATTTTAAGTAAATATAAAAAATCTCATTTTCAATCTATTTTAAGATAGTGACATATTTTAAGTTAATAATAAAAATCTTATTCTAGAACTAATGAAAAGAAAAAACGGAGCGAAAATTTTTAACTATAATAAAGTTGATTCCAATTAAAAAGTACTCAATTGAAGATAACATCATTCAATAAACATCATAAGATATTACGTTATATTCAAATTACAGACATCATTTTTGTAAGAGTCATTCAAAATATATGAGAATACAGTGCCTAATACAACAATGTAATAACCAAATGACCTAACATATTTTAAATGAAATATAATTATGATATATTATCTATGCAACTAATATGGTATTCTTCTAATATGTGGGATTCGTCTACTATATGACCCTAACAATGTAGAATACTATATGGTATTCTTATAATATATTATATTATAGTATAAACTTTATATTTGGAAAACCACTTTGAGTTATATTGTAATTTATAACATTAAATTTGTGATGGGGTGTATTTAACACACATTTGTTTATTTATATCTATATTATATATTCAAACAAATCTTATATAAACATCCAACCTAAATATTCATCTTCAAGTTTTCTTTCTTTGCCACGTAAACAAACTTTTTTTATAAAGTCCAAAATGGAATAAAAAACACTTAATTGTATGATCATGATATATTGTATTTTGATTGGGGCTTATACAAAACATGCGTGAGAATATATTATTAATTTATCTCTTGTTTTGGGTAATTTGAATAACATAGCTTCAAATCCAACATATCAAACGAATTACCCATTTACTAAAGTCTAAAACCCAAAAACTCAAACATGTTCTAATACCATACAAATGCATGAGGTTTTAGCAAATTATTATCTCATATGAATTATCATTGATTATGTATGGTTAATTATTAAGAAGGTGAAAAGGTTTGGAGGTTTCAAATGCATGAGGTTTTAGCAAACTATTGTGGGGGTTTCAAATGCATGACAATTAAGGGAAAATACAAGCTTTATAAGTATGTATGCTATATATATATATATATATATATATATATATATATATATATATATATATATATATATATATATATATATAGTCAAGATCAAATAAGAAGGAAATTTTTGGTAGGAAGGTAAGAAGTTTTTTTTCTACATATTTTTTTCGCGAACAAACAAAATGAATCATTAGATGATTCATTTGTAAGATAATTCACAAGAAAAAATTCTCAAAAAACATCTACATTATTCATTTATATAATGATTTTGTTGTTATTCACTAAAATTGTCATAAAAGTGATTTTTTTCTTAATTTACTTAAAAATGAATAATAAAGATGTTTTTTTGAGAATTTTTTCTTGTGAATCATCTTACAAATGAATCATCTAGTGATTCATTATTTTTGTTCGTCAAAAAACTATGTAGAACAAAAACTTCTTACCTTCCTACCAAAAAAATTTCTTACCGGATCTATATCCTATATATATATAATTTGTAATTATATGGTTATCTAGATTATTTCAAGATTAACATCATGTTTTTACCAAAAGTAATATATATAGTGACTATCTTTTTATTATAATTAAAATAAAATCAAACAAAAACATTTTTAAATTTTAAACTAAGAAAAAAGACAAATGACCAATAAAACTTTAACATCAATGGTAATAAATATTATTATAACACATTTGAGGTATATAAATGAAGAATAGATGTTCTAAAACCAAAAGTTTGAAAGTTTAAATCCTTTTGATATGAAATGTATAGATTTAAAAATAGTAAATTTAATAGATTGTTTTAAAAAAATATATCATATTAGATTATACTATTCTAGAAAAAAATATATATTTTTCCTATCATTTTATGAATTTAAAACTTTCATAATATATTAATTAAAAATATGTTATTGAATTCACAATATTTTTTATTATCTATAGATTTTTTTTTTTTTTTTTTTTAATATTTCTTCATATAATTTATAGAACTAATATATATTAAAATTTTTACATCTACCATTGACTTTTAAAATAATTATTATAATATATTTATTTATTAATTTAAATACTATGTTAAATTTAAAATATAAATCTATATAAAATAATAAAAAAAATAAAACAAATAAACTTTAAAAATATATAAATAATAATAAATTTTAAAATGTTACAAAAACTAGTATAAGTTTAAAACGACAAGTAAAAATATTTAAAAAAACAAAAAACAAAACAACTATTTTTTATCATAAATCATATTT